ACAGGAGCCAATCATTTCCCCAAATCCCACTTGGCAACCAAGCCAGAGACCCCTTAGGGGAGACCTTTCATGTGTGCATGCACACACACACACACACACACACACACACACACACACGAGAGTGTGTTCAGAGCCATGGAGAATTTGTCCAGTTGTCTCTTGGTTTATTTCTTTTTTGTTGTTGTTGTAGACCCTGGGGCTTAAACTCAGGGCCTAGGCCTTGTCCCTGAGCTTTTTCATTCAAGGCTAGTGCTCTTGAGCCACAGCTCCCCGTATGGCTTTTGGATGGTTATTTGGAGATAAGGGTCGTATGGACTTTCTTACCCAGGCTGGCTTTGAGCTTTGGTCCCTCCTCAAGGGGCCAGGCTGACAGGCGGGAGCCACAAGTGCCCAGCTTTTCAGCTGTCCATCCGCGTCTGCGTACCTTGGCGTGTCCCTTTTCCTAAGAACGTTGCTGTCATTTCCTTCCTTAGCTTGACGAGGCCGGCCAGCCGCGGGCTCCCTGGTTGAATTTATCCCCGGAAAAGATGGAGAAGTCATCTTCTGGTCTTCCTGACATCCAGACCCACTTCCTGCCTCCCCGGCCTCCCCGCCTCGGCTGTAAAACTAGAGGTCAATAAACTTGTCTCTTCAACAAGGCTTTGAACTTGACGTGTAGTTCGGGCTAGCTCTACCTCTGCCTGGAGCGCTGAGCACCACGTTTCAGAGGAGATCAGAGCTGAACGGAGAGAGACTGTTGATGTAAATGAGGGCTCTGCACCCCAACACTACCGTGACTTCGGACCCCGTCATTCTCCGCCGGCCTGTGTGACATAGGGCATCTCTCAGCACCCCAGGCCTGGCCCACGGTTAGATGTCCCCTCATTGATGAGAGTTGTGTGTCTCTAGACATGGCCTAATGTTTCAGGAGGCACATGGTGGCCTCTAGGTAAGAAGCACCAAGCATCAATGCCAGGAGCGACACAGGGAAAGCATCCATTTCCTTTCAGGGTCACACCTGTCATCCTAGCGGCTCAGGAGGCAGAGATCTGTGGATCATGGTTGGAAACTAGCCTAGGCAGAGAAGTCCCTGAGACCCATATCTCCACTAAACGACTCAGAAAAAGCTGGCAGTGGTGCCATGGCTTACGTGCTAGAGCGTTAGCACAAAGAGGCTCAGGGACAGTGCCCAAGCCCTGAATTCAAGCCCCAGGACCGCTCTCTCCCCCACCAAAGAAAAAGCCAGATTCTGAGGCCTTGGTTGCATTTATGTAAAGCAGGAAACCAGGCCGAAGTCATCCATCTGTCAGATGTCAGGAGAGCTTGCTTGTCGCTGCGGATGGATGGGGACAGGGACCGGTGGACACACAGAGACATGGTGGCAATTCCAGGAACCTGTGCTTCCGCCTCTCTTCCCAGGCTCCTGCTCTCATGCTTTTCTCTGTGTCTGTTACAACGGCAGGAAAAACAGAGTCAAAATCCACTCAGAGAATCCCAGAGAGATGTTCTTAAAGACAGAGAAATCCAAGCCAGTGATGGTGGTACCTTCCTGTAATTCCAGTACTCAGGAGGCTGAGGCTGGAGGATTGCAAATATGAAACAAAACAAGCCAAAAAACAACTCCCCCCCCAAAAAAAACCCAGAGAAGCCCCAAACAAAGAAAACCAACCACCAACAGCAACAAATCCAAATGGTACAGGTTTCCTCTCTTCTGCTTATGAGCAGCTTCATTTATTCAGAGGACCCTTCTGGAATCTTTCCGGGTGTGTGTCATGCTGTAGGAACAATCCATCCACTCTATGACCTGATTGAAGAGAACACCACATCGTCATCCCCCGTGTACACACACACACACACACACACACACACACACACACGAGTCATGGGACCTGCGTGGAATTGGATTTCCTGTCTTTGTGTTCCCGGAGCAGCCTTGTATGAGAGATGGAGTTGCAGAATGACACTTGAAATGGACCGACGGCCCTGCTGAGACTACTGGAAGCAAACATCCCTTTTAACCTGCTGGAGGACAGAGGCTGTGCGTCACCACCCCCTCTTTTGCCATGGAAAGGAAATACTGACCCACGCCTCTTGTACTAGAACCGCCATTGCTCATCCCAGACTTACTAGAGCCTCATCGCCAACTCTCAAATGCGGGGTCCTTGTGGAACCAACACAGCTACACGCCACCAACAACCAAGTCTGTTTTCCTTAACATCCTTTTCCTGTGGAAACCCAAGGAAGTTTCTGGAAGCAGGCACCCCAGAGGGCCTCCTGGGAGAGGCGGTTCCAGGGCCTGCGGTGGCCTTCCCAGATGGCCAGCAGTTAGAAAAGCGGGGAACACCTTTTTGGTCATTGTGTGGAGCAAGGGAGGGGCCCTAAAACCCGGAACCCCCAAACCAACACGTAATGGCAGGAAGAAATCGCTTCAAAGATGGCGTTTGTTTCCTGAGACTCCCCAGACTCCAGCCATCTCGAGACTGAGGGTGTCTCACCTTGTGGATTCTGCCTATTTTCCGAAAGTCTCTCCGCAGGCACTTCTAGAAAGTTCATCCGGCCCCTTTGTGTGCTGTGAGCACATACAGGAACCTTTGTACTCTATAGCAAGATGGCCGAAATGACAGCCCTACCTCACCCCCCCCTCCCGGCACACCTGCAATGCGTGCAAAAGACACACACATGTGCGGACACCTGGTCCTCAGGCAAGCAGGCCCCTCCCAGCATGCTCAACTGCAGACAGACAGACAGACAGACAGACAGCAATGCGCTCCTCTACCGTCACTGCGGGATGGGGTCACTGCCTGTTACTCTCACACCCCACCCACAGTGAAATCATGGAAATGGAAGCGGAGCTGTAGCACCAAGTGGTAGAGTGCTAGCCTTGAGCAGCATGCTCAGGGACAGCGTCCAGGCCCTGAGTTCAAACCTCAGGGCCGGAGCAGGAGCGGGGGGCGGGGGGGGCAGGGAGGGGAGAGAAGAAGAGTTCTTTAACCTCCCCTCCCCCCAGCATTAAAACATGTCTTCTGAGAGCATCGTGGGACCCCCACATGGTGCCCATCTACCTCTTAGAGACAGAGTTCTCAGTTCTAAGCCCAGGCCTGGCCCAAGATGTTCAAGGCTGCTGCTTTTCTTTTCTAGTTTTTAATTTTTTCCTTAACCTATTCTGGGGGACAGGGACGTGACCCGGGTATTCCCAGAGGGAAAGAAGAAAGAGCCAGAGGCCCGGGATGAGTGGAGGATGGGCGATGGATCAGGCCCATGGCGGGCTAGAGACGGAATGACATGGAAAGTCCTAGAAAGACAACATAAAAGCTGGCCCCGGCAATCTTCCACAATTCCCCCCCCCTTTTTTTTCTTTTCCCCCCTTCTAGCTCTAATTACAAATGTCTTGACATTCCTTCTGAGTTGAGTTTCCTTAAAAGACGTGCCAAGAAGAGATTTGGGGAGAGTGTGTGTTCAGAATAACCGCTGTCTGCCGGTCACCGTGGCTGGCTTGTCATTAGACAACAAAATGCTTAATGACCGTGCATGAGCTGCAGACCAGCACCCACACAACGGGGGTCTGGCACAACTTGGGGTCTCCCATCTCCCGTTAATCACTACACAAATAGACTTCTTGTGGGGATTGAGTTTATAGAATAAAGCCACCCCTGTCCCACACATGGTCACAATCAAACACCCCCAACCCCCTTCCCCTGACCCTAAGTTGTGGGGAGCGGGGAGGAGGCGGGGAAGGGGTGAGGAGGGAGGAGGCTAAGGGTGGGGCATGAAAACTGTCTTCTGGACATTTTCTTTTTGTTCTTTCCCCCACCCTCTCCGTCTTCTCTCCATTTATTAAAAAGCCTTAAGAAGCATTCCTGGTTTGTAATTCCGTTTAAAAAGGGAAAAAAAAAAAAAGACTCCAAACTTTTGCTTTTATGCTCAGGGAGAGACAGATCAGATTAAAGACAGAAGACACCTCGTGAAACATAGCTGATCTAGGGTACTTTAGCCTTGTGTGTGTGTGTGTGTGTGTGTGCGTGCGTGTGCCCGCGCTGCGCACACGCGCGTACGTGCGTGCATGTCTTCCCGGTGGTCTCTTTGCAAATACAGGGTTCTGTGTGCTAGGAATGTGTTTACTCCTCTCTCCCCTGTTTCTCTCAGAAGTCCGGAGCCTTTGATTGTGCTCTGTGATTTTAGAGGTTGGTGGCATTTTGGCAGCCACTCCAATCTTCCGTCTTCACGTCCCCTGACTTTTTCCAAAGGTGAAAGCAAACCCTAGCTGGTGCCAAGGCTTCAAGCCCTCCTCCCAGCCCCTCCCCCAGGGGCATCGGATGACATCATAGGCTGTAGCCATGGCAACACGCTGTGACATCATGGGCCGGGAGAGTACTGACCTTGGCCTGGAATTCAAAGGAAAACCAGCTCATAAACTTCTAAAGCAAGCAGGACATAAATATCCTTAGTCATAAAAGAACAAACGGAGTTTGGAGGTGAGGGGCTGGGGGTGGGGAGAGATTTAAAAAAGAGAGAGAGAGAGAGAATTCTTTTTTTTTTTTAAATTGACAGAAGTCCAGTTGCCAAGTTGCTTCCTCCCAACTCCCCCCCCCCCCCCCAGGAAGTTCCAGTGGCCATTTGGTGATGTGAATGAAGTTTTAAAACAGAAAGAGGAAAAGGAATGCAGCCAAGAAGGCCACTGTACTGGAAATAGCTAAGTAATTCTCTCCCCTTCCCCCCCCCCCCCCCCCCCCCCGCCACAATCTTTCAAGTGGGGGCAGGGGACAGGACGGAGTAACATTTGACCCGCATTCCCGAGGAGGATCTACAGCCAGGAGAGAGCGGAACATACAGCCCTGTGTTGATCTTCCCCCCAAAAAAGCTCTCCAGTGGCGTTCTGGGCTCCCAAGAGACAAGGGAAATGGGCGCAGATTCCGGGCTCTCGTGGAGGACAGGGGATGGGTGCCAGGTTTCTGGTTTTGATGAATGAAACAAGCGTTGTGAAATGTAGGGATGTGAGGTTAGGGGACCTGGGCAGAGCTGGGGCTGGAGGCGTGACTCAAGTGGTAGAGTACCTGCTTAGTGAGCAGGAGGCCCTGGGTTCAATCCCCAGTGACAGCAACAACAACCACCACCACCAAATAAGCAAGCAAGCAGGCGGAGCATGTTGACTCGTGCTTGTAATCCCAAGGTGGAGATTGAGAAGATCTCAGTTCAAATGCGGCTGAGGCAAAGTGTTAGCAAACTCCCGTGGTGTCTGGGCATGGGGGCTTATGTCTGTGGTCCCCGCTATAAAGGAGGTACAGCAGTCTCCCAGACCGAGGCCAGCCAAGGCTGAAGTACAAGATCACGCCAGAAAAAAAAACCTACAGCCAGGCACTGGTGGCCCACGCCTGTCATCCTAGCTACTCAGGAGGCTGAGATCTGAGGATCATGGTTGGAAGCCAGCCCCTCGGGCAGGAAAGTCTGTGAGACTCTAATCCCCAGTGAACCACCCAAAAGCCAGGAGTGGAGCTGTGGCTCCAGTGGTAGAGTGCTAGCCTTGAGCACAAAAGCTCAGGGACAGCGCCTAGGAGAGAGGCCTGGGTGCAGGGACCCGGCCTCTTGGGTATGAGCCAGCCTGCAGAGTCTGACAGGAAGACGAAGCCCTTGTTCCCTTGTGAGGACCTTCAGGGGTGGGTGACTGAGGAGTTGGGGGAACCCTGGATGCACCCACCCACCAGAGTCTGGGGGAGGGGGGGCAGAAGAGGAGCTGTGGAAACATACTAGTCATGAAGGCCGCCTGCTGCCCGCCCTCACCGCCTGAGCCACCGCTGTCCCCACACAGCCCCTGGCTTCACTCGCTCCTCCATCCCCATCTGGACCCACTTCCCACCAGCATGTGTTTGGATCCCTCCCCCTTTCTTAAAAAGTGTATGTGTGTGTGTGTGTGTGCATGCTGTTACTGGAACTTGAACTCAGGGCCTCTCTCTCAGACTCTTTCAAGCTTTGTTTGTTTATTTATTGCTCCTGGCGGTTGTTCTACCACTGAGCCATTCCTCCAGCCTGACTTTTGGCTGGTTATTTGAAGTCTGAGGGGATGGGAAGGGGGTCTTACGTGGACTTTTTCTCCCGGGACTGGCTGCAAACCAGGATCCTCCGGATCTCAGCCTCCTGAGTTAGCTAGGATGAACTGTGGGAGCCACTAATCCTTCTGCTCTAGGTTCCTGAGACACATGCCCGCGGCCTCGTGGATGGGTGACTGTGTTATCTGAGGGTGGTCCAGAGCTCAGCCTCGGCTGACAGGTCTTGGGGTCCCTCTGCACCCCGGCTTCTTCGTGAATAACAATTGTGCCGGCGTGTTCGTTCGGGGGGAGTGTTGGTGGGGACAGGGCTTTCCTCTGTGGGGGTCACCTGGGACGCGTTCATGGATATTTAACTTTGCACGGCAATGGACATGAGTGGAGACAGGATCCCAGGAGCTCTGCTGCCCCACCCCGGGGCAGACCAGCCGTTCCCAGCTGCACAAAGATTTCCCAAGACACACAAGAAAGCCTCCGCCGTGAAGGAGACCGCGGGACTTCATCCACTTCCCAAACATCCCTTCTTTGAGAGACCGTCAAGAAAACAAAAAAGCTGGTTCCTGCCGGGGCAGAAGCTGCTTCTTGTAAATAATTTACCTGACAAGCGACAAGTGTCTAGAACGTCATCAGGAGACAAATGACACCATTCATTCATTCATTCATTCATGCATCATTCATTCATTGTTGCTCATGGGGCTTCTCAGATCTCAGCCTCCTGAGTTGCTAGCATGACAGGTGTGAGCCACCGGTGCCCGACTAATGACACAATTTAAAAAACAGACAGAAGACGTATTGTCTTTTAACAGCCATGTCACAGAAGCAGCGGTGGTATCCGAGAGCAGGTAGAAGAAGGCTCACCGGTGTTTGTCAGAAGAATAGTAAAAGTCAAAACTCCAGAGAGGCCGGGCAGAGTGCTGCATGCCTGTAATCTCAGAACTTGAGAAACCAACCACCACAAACACAAATTTTCTAGGTAGGATGGAGGCTGCTCTGCCTTGTGACCTCTGGCAGGTTTTGTGTTTGAGTCTCGCAGGGCCTCCTGGGTGTCTAATCTGGGGGGGGGGGGGGGCGTATTCCTGCACTGGGCTGGGGTGTGCGGAGAGTTTGTGATCTGGCTGATGGACTGTCCCACAGGGCCCCGGGGGCCATGGGGCTTCCGAAGTTCCCACTTGTCTCTAAAAGAGAAGTGATTTGGACATGCCCAGACTTGCTGGGCTCACCTTGAATCCAGGAGGCCTTTGACTTGAAGGAGAAAGTTCAGGAAAAAACCAAACCAAAAAAAAAAACAACATTCATGCAACTCTGTATAACTTCATTTAGAAGGACACAAATTTCTTCCATGGGAAAGGGGTTAGGAATCGGTGTGTGTGTGTGTGTGTGTGCGTGCGCGCATGTGTGCATGCGCCAGAGAGAGAGAGAGAGAAAGAGAGGGGGGGAGAGAGAGAGGGAGGGGGGGAGGGAGGGGGGGGGCATGTGCACCAGTCTTGGGGCTTTAACTCGGTCTGGGCACTGTCTCTTGGCTTTTTCACACAAGGCTACCAGGCTCTACCACTTGAGCCACACCCCCACTTGGCTTTTATTTATTTATTCTATTTGTTGATGGTTAATTGGAGATAAGCATCTGTTGTTTCCTGGGTCTGCCTTGGGCTTGAACTCAGGGCCTGGAGTTGTCCCAGCCTCTTAGTGCTCAAGGTGATCCTCTACCACTTCACTTCCCGCCTTTTTGTGAGTGCTTTATTAGAGATAAGAGTCTCTCAGGGGCCGTGGGGAAATTAAAAAAAAAAAAAAAAAAAGAGTCTCACAGATTTTCCTTCCTGGGGCTGGCTTTGAACTGCGATCCTCTGATCTCAGCCTCCAGAGCAGCTAGGATGGGGGTGGGGGAGAGTGTTGAACCACCAGCACCGGGCTTCCGGTTTCTTTTTTGTCCTCTACCCTTATCTGCTGGTCTCAGGAGCCTGGGAGTCACAGGTCCCCAGGATGCTGGGGGCAGGGTCCTTTTAAAGCTAGGACGAGGAGTCAGAAGAGCCAACTTGCAGAGTTTGACCAGCCAGCCGGCTGGGGCGCAGCAGACCTCACCCGGTCCGGGAAGAGGCAAGGGCAGGGCTCAGGCACCTTCCAGTCTGAGAGGCCAGGGCCTGAGGCCTGGGGTGGAGGCGGGAAAGGAAAAGCCCCCAAAGAATTGCTAATGAAGGAACTGGGAAAGTGAAACTCGGGGGAGAAGCATAGAGCCCCAGCTCCGAGCTCTAGTCCCCCGGGGCCATGGCTGATACCCATCTCCCAGATAAGAAAACAGAAGTTTGCAGCAGTTAACACATCTTGCTCCCGGGGGGCAGCCATGGGGCCGTGAGATTCTTCATCCCTGGAGGAACACAGATCCAGGGAAACTCCCTGGAGCCGCCAGCATCCTATCCCTGACTACTGAACATCAAGAAGGAAAGTGGGGGAGCTGCTAAGAAGGAGAAGCCCCCCAAATGGAAGGCAGGATAAACAGACCTCCTGGCTCCTGTCACAGATCCCAGGTCAAGACCCTGGGGCTCCCACCCCATGCGCGTGGTGTGGCCTTAGCCAACCCCAACAAACGCCTGGTCTTCTCTTCTCTTGCCCAGAGACATCTCATCTCCACACTGGCTTGTGTGTGTGTGTGTGTGGGGGGGGGCTCAGCATAGCACCCTAGAAACAAAGTCCTTAAAATACTTTCTTGGGTGGATAAACACAGCACAGGAAACAAACCAAGAAAGCCAGAAAGAAAGACCCCTTGCCCACCCAGCCTCAACCCTTCCTTCCTAAACAAAACGGGAGGCCGGGTGGGAGGCTGGGGCGGGGTCAGCGGAAATGGGAGAAAGAGGCAAACTTTTCCTAACAGATGAGCCCATCTGTACACAGCCACGGCGGGCGGCCCCCACACGTCCCTTCTGAGCAAGACCGCGTTTCCTGCTGTCACACCCTCTTTCCTCCTGTTGTTGGTGGGGTTTTTCCCTTGGTTATTGTTGTTATTTTCATTTCTACCTTCTGAGATGTTCAGCGATCGTTGCTGCTGCCTGCTTAGATGATGCCCAAGCCAGAAAGAGAGCAGCCCACTCTGGGTTATGAAATTCCAGATGTCAGGCTTGGCCAGGAGAGAAGATAGATAGCTGCTGTGATAGACTTGAAGTCTCCATCTCCTTCTGGTGGCCCCGGCTTGCTCACAGGCAATTCCTGTATTCTCTACCCGGAGATGAACAAGATAAGGCCCCAGCTCGGAGCCAGCGGCGCCAGCCTGGAATCCCAGCTACTCAGGAGGCTGAGATCTGAGGATCATGGTTTGAAGCCAGTCTGGGCAGGAAAGTCCAACACAGCCATGTTATCTCGGCCACATCATGTATTCCCTCTGAATTCTGGCTTTCTCGTTTATAATCCGGAGAGGATACTACCTCCAGGCCGAACGTGGTAGCGTAGGACCATAATCCTAGCACTTGGGAGGCTGATGCAGGAGGATGGAGAGGCGAAGGCCAACCTCCTCGGCTACATAGAGAGACTGTGCCTCCAAAAAATAAAGGCCCATAACATAAAACACAAAGCAAAGAATGAAGTAAAATAGAATGAAGTCGCTTTCTGGGGATGTCACTTATCTGGGTCAGCAGCCTGGTCGGGGCCTGGGGTGCATGAGTCCATTCTCTGTGGTCAGAATTATCCACAAATGTCTCAGGGACCATGGAGGAAGGTCCCTGAGGGACCGGGGGTGGGGGGGGGGGAGGAAGTGGCAGAACTGGTTTTGTATTTTATCCCCCTCGCCCCCCACCCCCCACCCCAGGACACAATCTGGCTGTCATATTGAGTCAGACCTTCTTCTACGCTCTTGCTCGGCATATCTTGGAATCACAGCATTCTCTGGAAGAGGAATAGTATCTCCCTTTCCAGACAGGACCATGGAGGTTCAGAGTGGTCAAGTAACTTGTTCGAGGACACACAGCAAGTAGCCTGTAGCAGACACTCCACACACAGAAGTGCCCCTTACTTCTCCATCGCCCGTTGACCATTTGTAGCGCCAGCTCCCGGGGAGGCTGAGAGGCTGGAGGATCA